TTCCTTTCTTTACTTTGTCGAGGTGGGCCTCTTATCGGCCTTCTTGCTTCTTCGACTGGGCCAGTCGGCAGTTGGCTCCTCTAGAGTGGAGTCTCAACGTTCCAGCTTCCGCAGCAGCATCTGCCATCTGCAGTGACATCTACCTTAGAAGGTTTCTTTTCCCCGCCTTTCTTTTCCAAAATATTTATCATCTTAATCATATTATGGTCATCCCAGTGACTTCAACTAAGTTCATGTTTCTCCTTTAATAGCTTCTCTTTTCTGTCTGAATTTCTGTTGACTTTATCTGTCTTGAAAATTTGGTTTGTTTCTCGTTCCTGTATAAATTTTTTGTTCTTCTGGATGTAGCTATTTGAATATTATATATCTTGATTTGTAGTGTTTGTTATACGCAGTTTAATTTGGCAAGTGTTTGTTATTTTCTGATAAGAGTAGCATGAACTGCGTCGCAAAAAAGGGGGGGTGAATTGACTGACACTGTTTACAAAAAAAACAGCTGTTATTCTCCTCGTAGCTTTGCCTACGAGGATTAAACAGGTGTAAAATGACTTTAGCGGGGTGGAAAAACATAAATCGACTGTAAAACAGAAGGGACGAATGGCGGAATATGAGGAAATTAATATCCAGAGCTGATGGTGTAGGATTCTTCTAATTTTTCTCTAATTTCCAGGTTAGTATCAATTAGTACTCTTTCCCATAAAATATGTAAAGCATTTGTTGAGGGGTTGAATGTTCAAGAATATAAAGTATTTTTAGTCTTTCAAGGTGTAATTGTTACTTTTTTTTTTTAAGTACCCCTATTGATAGTGATTTTATATTTATTGTAGGGTATTTAATAGGGATAGATATGGAAAGATAAGGTTAGTTTGAAAATAACTACTTTATTGAGGGGTGAAATTCGATTAAAAATGTATTACATTTTTAAACGGAGGAGTATAGTGTAAGGACCCTGTAGAGTTCTTGATCACTATAAGAAATGACATTGGATCAGTCCTGCTTTTCCTTGGACTATCAATTGCTTGAATAACGGCATATTCGAATGGGGGCAGAGAATAGTTCTTTGTCTCTTTGTACACCTATCCATCTATCTGTTTGTGTTTATTTATATGTTATTATCGGAGTGCGGAGAACAGTTTGTAAAAAACTTATTAATTGCTACAAAGTTACCCCCCTTTCATGGTTTCTTGACCTTTGATTTTGCTCATCTAACTTTCTGATTCTCCTTTCTGGCAGGGTTTCTCTTCATTATGAGCTCCAAGCATCTGTGGATAGCTTTCTGTTTATGGGCTTTAACATGCTCACTTCTTCCTTCTTTCTCTTCTGGGATTTTAAGAACTAGTTTGAAGAAGAGACCTCTTGACCTTCAAAGCATTCGAGCTGCCAGAGCTGCAAGGGAAGCACTGAGACCAGGAAGACCAGTGAAGGATTCATACCAGTATATCAGTAATTCACATGATGAAGATATACTACCTCTGAAAAATTATATGGATGCACAATATTTTGGAGAGATTGGAATAGGCACACCCGCGCAGACCTTCACTGTCATATTTGATACTGGTAGTTCCAACCTTTGGGTTCCTTCATCATGGTGCTATTTCTCAGTAAGTTCATGTCCATCCTGGTATTAGTATCCATAATCCATAACTATATCATGTGAGTATTTCATTAACCAATAATATTCATGTGCAGATTGCTTGTTATGTCCATTCTTGGTACAAGTCCAGCAAATCCAGTACATACACTGAGAATGGTAACGTTACTGTATTAATGCCAGTTTCTCATAACTGGTGTTACTGATTATGCTAGATATTATTATGGAAGCAGTAAGTTGGCATTGTACATGGCCTTTGAGAAGAAGTTTGAAATTTTAAACCATTCATATTAACTTGTCACTCAGGAACATCATGTGAAATACAATATGGGTCTGGATCATTATCTGGTTTTTTCAGTCAAGATGACGTTAAAGTTGGTGATGTGGTTGTAAAGCATCAAGTGAGCACTTTCTTTATAAGTTTCCACTTGAAAATATAATTTATTATGCTCAGAATCTGTGGCAATACTTAGGCTTGGGTTTCAGCAAGGCTCGCATGTTAACCTGTTCGATGCAGGATTTCATTGAGGCTACTCGAGAGAAAAGTCTTTCCTTTGCATTCGCCAAGTTTGATGGGATACTTGGACTTGGGTTTCAGGAAATCTCAGTTGAGAAAGCAGTACCAGTTTGGTATAGTTCAGCTTGTTTTTTGGTTTTTCCTTTGCATCTAATTTTCTTGGTATTGTTAAAGCATGATTTTTTTACTAGTACCTTTGGGTTAGTTTCCTGAATTTACCGGTCCCCTATCAAATCATAGGTACAATATGGTGGATCAAGATCTTGTTGGCGAGAAGGTGTTCTCTTTTTGGCTCAATGTGGATCCGGAGGCAGAAGAGGGTGGTGAAATTATATTTGGAGGAATTGACCGTAATCATTTCAAAGGAAAACATACTTATGTCCCAATTACTAGAAAAGGTTACTGGCAGGTAAGCAAATGCAAAACTATAGTCTGTTTGACCAGGAATTCCATTTAAACTGTAAAAAGGAAAAATCCAGAAAATTTGAACACGAATTTGTGGTCTTTTCAGATTGAAATAGGAGATTTTCTCATTGGAGGTTTATCAACAGGTAAAGACATTTTTTATTTTTCAACCAGACGAAATTTTTGTATGGAATCATATGATGCAAAGAAAAGTATGAGATTTTATTTTCCCCAGACCTTAATTGAAGAAGAAAATTAGTGAAATCTTATTTGATTGAGAACTTGTATTCCTTTGCTACAATTTTTGTTTGTCACCATTCTCCTTGATTACAATGACCATATATTATAATCCTTAAGGTGTTTGCGAGGGTGGATGTGCTGCTATTGTGGATTCAGGAACATCTTTGCTTGCTGGTCCAACCGTATGTGTTTTCGCCTCTCTGAAAATTTTCTGCTTATAGCTTTTCTTTCATAATTTTGTCAACTACTTTTCAATTTCAGTCGGTCGTGGCTGAAATCAACCATGCCATTGGAGCTGAAGGAGTTGTGAGTTCAGAATGTAAGGAAATAGTTTCTCAATATGGAGACAGGATATGGGATCTATTAGTATCAGGGGTATGCCCTTCCACCCTTCATTCAAAGTTTGTGTTTGTGCGTTCTTCTAGCTGTGACATTCTGGTTCATCGTCTGCTTCTTCAACCTAAATGCAGTTGATCTTAATTTGCAGGTGGAGCCCGATGAAGTATGTTCACAAATTAGTTTATGCTCTGCATATAGGGATCAATCTAAGAGGTTGGAATTTTCTTATAGGCTTTATATTTCATCGTCTTTTTGGCTGCCTTGCTACTTGTTTGAATGTCAGAGTTTTCCATTGTCAGAATAGGCACATATAGGGGGAAAAGTAGCTTTCTGCAGAAGTATTTGTCATGAAACGTCCATTACCAAATCAATAGAAATAGAGAGACTGACTTCAGTTTCTTATTCTACAATCAAATCGTCTCTTACACAGACTTCTAAATTGTTCATGCTCCCACTACTACTCTGCACTGCAGCAATGGGATCAAAATGGTGACTGAAACAATAGTCAGAGATGTTGTGTCAGCTAGAGATGATAATATGTGCTCTCTGTGTGAGATGGCTGTCGTTTGGATACAGAATCAACTAAAACGGAAGGTAACCAAGGAAAAAGTAATCCACTACATAAACCAGGTGATATTTTTAAACCAACCTCTCTAGAGGCCCCAGCTGCATTATAGCTTTAGGCGGTCTAGTGACTGAGTTCTGCCTTTGGTCATTGACAGTTATGTGAAAGACTGCCAAGTCCTGGTGGAGAATCCACGACAAGTTGTGAAAGTATTTCTCAGATGCCGAACATCACAATTACCATCGGAGATAAACCTTTCAGCCTCACTCCACAGCAGGTTTGCTTTGAACTTTGATAAAGTTATCTTCGTCTCTATATTTCCTTTGTGACCGTTTAGCAAATAATACTAGTTGCCTTACATTTACCCCAAACGAGTGAAACCATGCTGCATCGTTGTGGGGAACAACTATATGTTTCATTCACCCCAAAAAACAAATCTGGAAACTTTTGGCTTGAGTCCAGGGCAAGATTTCATGTGGTCATGTGTCTGCACAATTACATTCGAGTTATTTATATGCCTTGTTATTTGTTTGGTTAATTATCAGTGAATATAATATATGTAATGAGAGTGCTTTGCTGTTTTAACAGTATATTCTGAAAACTGGAGAAGGCGATGCAGCAGTCTGCCTCAGTGGGTTTACAGCTTTTGATATCCCACCTCCTCAGGGCCCTCTCTGGTATTTTACATTGGTTAAAATTATGCCTATTGCATTCACAAGCTTGCATGTAGTGAATATCATGTGTTTTCTGAAGCAACCGTATACGTGTGTTTGTGTGGGGATGCATGCAGGATCCTTGGCGATGTTTTTATGAGGGTATATCATACGGTGTTTGACTACGGCAATCTCCAAGTGGGTTTTGCTGAAGCTGCCTAAAGGGTCCTCTGGAGAATCACATGCAGTCTTCACAAACTCCCTTTAACTTAGATAAAAAGTTTATGGTATTGCTGATAGTGATAGAACTTGCATAATTAGTTTAAGATCATCTGCTTACGTTCCATATGTTAATGTTACAAATGCTACTGTTTAACAGACGCTCCCTGAGGTTTGAGTAAGTTTAGCACTTTGGAAGGGCTGATATTAAGCGTTATTTATTGTTAGCAGTGATAATTAAATGCAGCAGGAATTGTAAAGGCTACATGAAGCATATTCCTGGGTCTTTTACAGTCACTTATTTTTGTATGTGATTAAAGTAAGACGTTCAAGAAAATTATTTATAATGTATTTTTTATGTTAAAATATCAAAATCTTTATTATTTTTAATATTACAGCCGTTAAATTTTACGAATTTATTATTAAATTTTAAGAAAATAATATTTCATAAACATAGTAATCGTTAAATAGATTGAAATGAACTTAAGATGACTTGAGAGCTTGAATTTTTTTTTGTTTGAATATAATTTATTCATTTTTTTAACTTACATCTTAAAACGTGATATATATACTTGTTTTACAGTCAAGTATACACATTTTTTATTTATTTATTATACAAAGTAGAATGAATGGTGATGATATGATTTGGTATAAATTTTATTTTTTATCGATATTAATTTGGTATAAAATTGTCTTGAAGTAGTGGTCAGCTAAAAAAAACCTATTCGAAGGGCCAACATGAGATTCAAGCAACGTTGGATTGCGTGAGAGTTTTGAATACTGGAGTTTGAATTCGTTAGATTTAGTCTTTGATTATAGAATCTACTCCTCATGGATTTGGTCATCGCTCATCAGTTTGTTTTTTTAAAATCGATGCTATCAAAAAACAAAATTGTAAACAACAGCCAGTTCGACCAGGAAATTTTAAATTTACATTTTAAAATTAACCACAGACTTCCGGGGACAAAAAAAACAATGACAGGTGAATTAATGAGAGTTAGGCTCTCGACAAAATTTTTTATAAAATAAATTATAAATATTAATTTAAATAATTATAAATAAAATTTTTTGTTATAATCTAAAAATTATATTTGATATCTAAATACTTATTTATAATTAAAACTTTTGAATTTGTAATAATTTAAATTGATATTTTAACTTTCTTTTTAAACAAAAATTTGTCGAGGGACTTAACTGATATTAATTCAGTATTTAAAATTTAATTGTCATTCTTCTAAAAAAAAATCATTCCTGTACAAGTGGATGCAAATATTTGTGTACAAGGACATAATCTATATAATACTTCATATAGATTATAAAAAATTTATAATTTATGCTTCCAATCTTAAGTAAATTGTTCAAAAATCCATGTCGAACGACATCAATGACATCGTTTACATGCACAAAGTCAAAGTTAGAAAAAGCCTAGTAGCCTGGGATATTTTTCTAGTCCTATCATGTCTCGTAGTGCTTTGTTTTACTTTGTAGAAGTGGGGCTTTCTACAGGCCTTTCCCTTCTCCTATTGATACGTACGTATTGTAATGTTTGGTGTTTGGAGAAAAATGACATTTTAGATCCTAAAATATTATTTAATGACAGATTTTAAAAAATTTACTGAAAAAATGAGTAGCAAATATTTGTTCAAGATAATTATAAATAAAAATATTTTAATTACAAAATATTCAATTTGTAACTATAATTCTTAAATTGTAATTGTCTCCTTCTATATTTCCAACTCAATTTTTAATAATTTTTTGCGAAACTTAAACATTGTTAAATTGATTTTTTTAGGACGTAAATGTCATTCTTTGTTTGTTTGACTAAGCCAAAGTCCACTGCATTAACTTTTCCAGCGTCTATAGTGACATCTCCCCAAGAAAGGTTCTATTTTCTCCCCTGAATCTTTATCATCTTTGTCACATGATTATGATCATCACAGTTCATACTGACTTTAACCAAGTTTGATATCATCTTCCCCCAAGAAAGGTTCCATGTTTCTCCTTTAATACCATCACTTTCCTGCCTCAAACTCTGTTGATTTTGTTTTTCTTGAAAATTTGGTTTGTTTCACGTTCCTGTATAAATTTCTTCTTATTCTTATTCTTCTTGTGGATGCACCTATACGAATATTTATGGCTATAGGTTTCTATCGTTTCTGTTGATTTTTAAAAAACGTTTGGTAGATTAATTTGATAAGATTAGAATAAACTGCATCATTTGGAGGGGGAAAAAAAGGAGTGTGGAATGAACTGACACTGTTTAGAACAGCAGCTACTGATCTCCGTGTAATTTTGCATGCATGGATTAAAAAAGTTTTAACATAGCTTACTTGGGGGAGAAAAACATAAATCAACTAGAAAGAAGGGGTATGAGGAAATCAGTATCCAGAGCTGCTGAACTAGGATCTCTTTAATTTATCCCTAACCTAATATATGTTAATATTGATTACTGTAGTGTAAGGATCCTGTAGAGTTCTTGATCACCATAACAAATGACTTCGAATCAATCCTTCACCCCTCATTCATGGTTGTTTTGCTTGTCTTCTGATTTTGCTCATCGAACTTTCTGATTCTCCTTTCTGGCAGGGTTTCTCTTCATTATGAGCTCCAAGCATCTGTGGACAGCTTTTTGTTTATTGGCTTTAACATGCTCACTTCTTCCTTCTTTCTCGTCTGGGATTCTAAGAATTGGTTTAAAGAAGAGACCTCTTGACCTTCAAAGAATTCGGGCTGCAAGAGCTGCAAGGGAAGAACTGAGGCTCGGAAGACCGGTGAAGGATTTGTATCAGTTTATTAGTAACTCACATGATGAAGATATACTACCTCTGAAGAATTATGTGGATGTGATATATTATGGAGAGATTGGAATAGGCACACCCCCCCAGACCTTCACTGTCATATTTGATACTGGTAGTTCCAACCTTTGGGTTCCTTCATCATGGTGCTATTTATCAGTAAGTTCATATCCCACTTGATATCCATAACCATATCCATATGAGTCTTTCATTAACCAATAAAATTCATGTGCAGATTGCCTGTTATGTCCATTCTTGGTACAAGTCTAGCAAATCCAGTACATACACTAAGAATGGTAACGTTATTGTATTCATGCCAGTTTATCATAATTAGTGCCAGCCATCATGCTAGATCAGATTTAATAGTGGAAGCAGTAAGGTAGCATCGTGCATGCCAAATAATAAAAGGTTTGAAGTTTCGAACCATTCATGTTAACTTGTCAATCAGGAACATCATGTGAAATACAATATGGGACAGGATCAATATTTGGATTTTTCAGTCAAGACAACGTTGAAGTTGGTGATGTGGTCGTAAAGCATCAAGTGAGTACTTTATTTATAACTCACTTGAAAAAGGACTGTATAGGTTGTTCTGACCACAATCTGCGGCAATACATGGACTTGGTTTTCACCGAGGCTATCATGTTAACCTGCTGAATGCAGGATTTCATCGAGGCTACTCGAGAGGAAAGTCTTTCCTTTGCACTCCTTGAGTTTGATGGGATATTTGGACTTGGGTTTCAGGAAATCTCAGTTGAGCAAGCAGTGCCAGTTTGGTATGCTTCAGCTTGTATTTTGGTTTTTCCTTTGCATCTGATTTTTCCTTGAAATTACTGATCCATTTTCAAATCACAGGTACAATATGGTGAAGCAAGATCTTGTTGGCGAGAAGGTGTTCTCTTTTTGGCTCAATGTGGATCCGGAGGTAGAAGAGGGTGGTGAAGTTGTATTTGGCGGTGTTGATCCAAATCATTTCAAAGGAAAACATACTTATGTTCCAGTTACTAGAAAAGGTTATTGGCAGGTAGGCAAATGCAAAACTAGATTCACTTTGACCAGGAATTCTATTCAATTTGTGAAAAAGAAAAATTCAAAAAATTTGAACACGAATCTATTGCTTTTCCAGATTGAAATAAGAGATTTTCTCATTGGAGGTCTTTCGACAGGTAAAGACATTGTTTATTTTTCAACTGCAAGAAATTTTTGCATAGGGGATTAACAAAGAAATCTTAAAAGGTTTGAAATCATATGGTATGAAGAAAAGCATGGGATTTTATTTTTCCCATACCAACTTCTTTTGTTTAATATCATATGTTATTGGAAAAATTACATTCAAGTCCTATGTAAGGAAATTTATTACGAAGAGGTCCTATAAAATTTACAAAATAATCCCAAGTCTCAAATCCTGTGCATTTATAACTTGTTTAAGGCCATAGACAAGTTATAAATGATCATTGCCCCATTATCAATGCCTTTAATCAAGTTGCAAGTACCTAAGATTTGAGACTTAAGAGTATTTTATAAATTTTATGAGATTTTTTAATAATAAATTTTTTTATGTGAAACTTAAATGTAATTTTTCTTATTTTATTTTCTCTTAGAAAACTCGTATTTCTTTACAACTAGTTTTGTTTGTCACCATTAGCTTTGATAACAATGACCATAATTTATAATTCCTAAGGTGTGTGCGAGGGTGGATGTGCTGCAATTGTGGATTCAGGAGCATCTTTGCTTGCTGGTCCAACCGTATGTGCTTTCATCTCTCTGAAAATGTTTTGCTTCTAGCTTCTCTCTCGGTAGTTAACTGCTTATCAATTTCAGTCAGTTGTGGCTGAAATCAACCATGCCATTGGAGCTGAAGGAATTTTTAGTTCAGAATGTAAGGAATTAGCTTCTCAATTTGCAGACAAGATATGGGATCTACTTGTCTCAGGGGTATGCCCTTCCACCCTCATTTGAAGATTCTGTCCACGCCTTCTTCAAGCTGTGACATTTTGCTTCTTGGACCCTAAATTCTTTTGATCTTAATTTGCAGGTGGACCCTGATGAAGTATGTTCCCATCTTAGTTTATGCTCTACGTATGGGGATCGATCTAAGAGGTTAGGAATTTTTTTTAATTAGCTTTATATTACATCATCTTACATTTTGATTTCTTGTCAAAGTTATCCATTCTCAGACTGGTCACATATAGAAAAAAGATATAATTTTCTGCAAAAGTATTTGTCGTGGAACTTCCATTACTGAATCAATAGAAACGGTGAGACTAGCTTGAGTTTCTTACTCTACAAAATTTACTAATGTTCTATTCTAGCAGCACTGGGATTGAGATGGTGACTGAAACAACAGAAAGAGAGGGGCTGTCAGCTAGAGACAATAACACGTGTTCTTTGTGTGAGATGGCTGTCGTTTGGATCCAGAATCAACTAAAACGAAAGGCAGTCAAGGAAAAAGTAATCAACTACATAAATCAGGTGATCTTTTTTTACAATCAACCTCTCTAGAAGCCCGAGCTGCATTATAGCTTTAGGCTGTCAAGTGACTGAGTATTGCCTTTGGTCACTGACAGTTATGTGAAAGATTGCCAAGTCCTAGTGGAGAATCCACAGTAAGTTGTGAGAGTATTTCTCAGATGCCGAACATCTCACTAACAATCGGAGATGAACTTTTCAACCTCACTCCACAGCAGGTTTGTTTTGAACTTTGATCAATTCATGTTTGTTTCATCATGTTTCCTGTGTGACGTGTGAAATCAGGCTGCATCGTTGCGGGAGACAACTGTATGTTTCATGCAGTGGTCCGTACTCTATAGTAGGAAATGTGTCCCGAGGAAGAACATTAGGCTTCCAAGTCCAGAGCAAGATGTCATGTGAAACCTTGTTATTTCATTTGTTAATTTTCAAGGCATATAATGTATGTAGTGAAAAATGCTTCGCTGTTTTTACAGTATATTCTGAGAAGTGGACAAGGCGTTGCGGCAATCTGCCTCAGTGGGTTTGCATCTTTTGATATTCCCCCTCCTTATGGTCCTCTCTGGTACGCTACCTTCATTTATATCAAGGCTACTTGTACTTACAGTTCTAATATGCAAGTGTCCTAGGGCAGAACAACCTTGCATGTAACGAACTACAAATATACACGCGCACACCTGTTCGTTTAAGGTATGCGTACCTTTTTCTGAAGCAACCTTGTCTGAACACAGGATCCTTGGCGATGTTTTCATGAGGGCTTATCATACTATCTTTGATTATGGGAACCTGCAAGTGGGCTTTGCAAAAGCTGTCTAGAGCAACTTTCGTTCAAGGCAGACAAACTCCCGTGAGTTTTAATTAAAAAAAGAAAATGTTATTACTGGTAGAAATTGCGTAATTAGTTTAAGATCTATTTATACAAGTTGTTGTGTTACTTTCTTTTATATATTAATCTGTACTGGAGGGTGGTTGAATGCTTGCACAAACCCATCAGAGTGGCGATTAAGAATCAATCCGAAAAATATTGAGAATCGAAGGGAATAATATTGCAAAAAAAAAATAAAAAGCAATGAATTATTTCAAAATTTTAATTGTATTGAAATATATGAAAAATATTAAAGAATAAAAAAATTTGAAACAAGTCATCAATGAAATATGTGACGAGTTTAAAATTTAAAAAATGTTACATGATACAATGCCTGGCCTTTTTTTGTGTTAGGATAATGATGCCGTGTGTTGTTGGTCAAAGACGAAAAAGCCCCGGTGGAAACGAGAGTGTGTGTCAGTGAGAGGCTTCCAACCCGTGGAATCAAAATTGAAACTCATGACGATCACTAATTCGACACAAACAATTTTTCCCATCAGATTTAATCACAGGCTCACAACGTCACCAAATCATAGAATCCCAAGATGAGATCTAACAGGATCATAATGGTTCAAACTTGACAGTCGCATAAATACGCATCAAACAACTCACGATTAATGATACAAGGCTGAATCACAGCTGCAAGAAAATTTTCCATTATTCTTCATCCGCATCGGTATTGAATATAGAAGATATGGCCACTTTTTGCTTCTTTGCAGCACCGCCGAATGAGTTCTGCAAGAAATGAGGAAGAAACTAGCACTTAGCATGGTAACATCAAATGAATTAGCAAGGCTGAAATTGTTTTGACCGGAACGTAACAAGGCTACAAGCATTGACTGTATAATTAATCAGTTCCATGAATATCTACGTCAGCATCAGGACAGAAGTCAACTGTGACTGAAAGCCATCCCAAAGCAGTCACCCAGATGCATTTGGGCATGGCAAAAAAACTATGCATTCATCCATAGTTCACTCTGGCATACCTTGGAAGCACTTCCCTTGGAGGAAAACCCAAACTTCAAAGTCTTCCGCTGATCCTGATCTGCAAGTGCAGTAGCAGTTCTAGATTCGGAGGAAACTGGAGCAGATCCAGATTCTTCGTGTTGCTGTTGAAGCTGTTGCTGCTTTTGAGCATCAGCCCTGGTTAATATTAAAGGATCCAAGAAAAGACAAGATGACGTCAAAAGGTGGCCAAGATCATAACAATATTTCTCTAGCCAACTATCCACAACAGCCACGATAAGGGAAATATATTTTAGAAAAACATAACTTTAGATTTTTGCATTTTGCTATATGTCCCTGCACTTTTTTCTTTTCCCAATGTTCTAGGTCCTTATACTTTTATTTTTCAATGTGGAGCTAATACCCGAAAACAAAAGTATACGGATCTAGAACACCTAAAAAAAAGTACAGAGACCTATAATAAAACGCAAGCAAGATGCAAGGATTCAAAATTATATTGTAACAAAGACCAAACAAGATTAGAGGTGCATAAGCACGAGGATACATTTGGGCAAACTTAGCCATTTCTCTCTCTTGACGCTGCTGTTCTCTTTTTTGCCGATCATCACGGCTACTACTTCCATGCATGTCCTTCATTTCTTTGAAACGCTGTAATTATCATTAAGGATGTTTAGAAGGATGAAAAAGGAGCCTTGATGTAAAGTCACCCAGTCAGTCAAATCATCTACCTTTCTGTGATTGTGATCGTATGAGCTCAAGTGAGCTTCAAATTCCATGGCCAATTTGTATTGCTTGTTGCAGAGATCACAAAAAAACACCTTCCGAATTTCTTTGACTTCAGTTTGAATTTTTTGCTCACGTTCTGCCAAAACCTGGATTTTCATAATGCGCACGAGACAGGCAGAAGAAGCCACCAGGTAATAAAAACTGCAGGAAATTCTCAAGACCTTCCAAAGTTGATGGTTCCCTAAGACACACCAATCCCATCAAAAGACATGCATATGTGCTATATGCTGCCTTCTGCTATTAGGTGGAGGTTCCAGAAAATGGAAAACATCAACCTCAATACTACTTCATGATTTTAGAATTTAAGGCAACTGCTAAAAATTTCTTAATCATACCTCTCGCTTCCTCATATTTTCTTCTGTCTCCTCCAGCTCGATATCAAGTTTCTTTCGCTGGACGTTTTCTTCAGCAGTGAAAAAATCATCTTCTTCTTGTTTACCCACACCCAATCTGGGATCTCTAATACCAGATTTTATTGGCTCAATAATTCCTGCACATAAATCCAGAGGCACAAGATGAAAACGTGGTTAAAGAATTTGAAATCGAGGAGAACATCCATCAATTTCATACTTCAGGCAAAACATTCTGCATTCAAGAAAATACAAAATTGTAGTACAGGAAAGAAAGAAAGAAAGAACTATTTCACAAAAGGTTCAGTTATAGAAAGATCAAAGCCCAGAGACAGGTAATTAAATATTTAGGGCCTTAAGAGAGAAGGTGCCCATACTTTAAAAACAAGTATAATTGGAGAGAATTATAGAGGCTGTTTAAAACTGTTTTTATTTTATTGTTCTGAGAACTAGTGTTTTGTAAAACATATTCTGAGAATAAAAAAATAATGAAAATAGAGGTTTTTTTTTTCATTTTTCCTTGTTTTCCAAAACAATAATCCCAAAACACTTGAAAGTTGATTCCATTTTTCTGCTCTCGAGAACAATATATATATATATATATATTTTTGTTCTCTAAAACACTTTTTAAAAACACGTTACCAAACAAATTTTTTGTTCTTTTGTTGAGAATAGAAAACTGTTCTTAGAACAGATTGCCAAACAAGCCCTATAGTTTTTCTTGCATTGATCTTGAAGGCCCGTGCCTTGCTAAGCCAGAACCTCATTGCCTTTCCAGTTCCACACAGTGAGATTACTAAAATTGCATAATCCAAAAAATTCCGGCCACACCTTATTCCTATTGGCCACCTGGAATGGCCACCCTCAAGACACTAATCAGATGATGTGAATGGTTATATGCCAAGTATTACAGGTTTGAACGGGTTTATTTAAAAAAAACGAAAGCACTGGAGGATGTTTCTCAAAGGGCTAGATTTGAAAGGGGTTACAAGCAACCAACAACATCAACAAATACTATGTGGAAGCTCGACAAGATTGCTTCTTTTCTAATACAATTACAAACCTTGCTCGTTCTTCCCCAAACCCTTTCCTTTCCATCCCATCTTTTGAAGTAGCTTAAATCCAATATTAGACGATGTTAACTGCGTATCCAAAGATGCCTGTTCAACATTGTCCAGATCAACATTTTCTGTTGGCCTGTGATTGATAGGCAACCGAAAATCCTCTGCCCAATCCTCGATAAAGGATTCCTGAAATGCCAATAAAAAATAACTCAGCATGTACAATCAACTATTAAAAGCAAGAAGTAATATTAATTAATTATCTAGTGGCATTAACTCGTAAATAAGAGGAAAGCCACATAAGTACTGCAATCAATTTAAGTCTAATTACCTTCCCCTTTCTGATTTGGCTCCTATCAATGGTACCAGTTTCCCGCCCACCACTGGTCCATGGATAATCCATTGAACCTATACAGATCATAAGAAGCAAGCACATGACCAAAAACCTTGTTCATGTTTCGAAGTAACAGTGGGTGGAATAATTATCATCATAGAGCCGAAAGAAATTAAGAGAAAAACAAAGAACGCTCCAAATGATATTGTATTAGATTCTTCAAGTCAGTCAAATATAATGGTCACTTCGCTATTCTAGAAGTTTAAGTATATGAACATCATAAGCAGCATCAACCATATAAAACCGCGATAAACATTGATACTAAGGGATTTAATATTGCCGGCCTTTTCTTTCTTTCTTTTTCTTTGCTTTTTTTTTTTGGGGGGGGGGGGTTAGATACAGTAGAGTATATTAGACCCAGCACACCAAGCAACTAAAGCGATCCATAATCCCAGGATCCTTCACAGTGCAAGAGGCACTTAAACATCTTGAAACTCCAATAACAGAATATAAACCAATCAGCCTAAATCAAAAAGAGAAAATATTCAATTTTACAAACACAGAACAGGATATTGAGAGGTGGCAAAGAACAGGATGTGATTCCAAAAACCCTACCTAGCTTTGACGCCCCTGCTGTTATCACCGCCGAGGGTGAAATAGAATTGGAGTGTTAGGGTATAATTCCGGGGTAGAATGGACTGATTAACAACAGTTCTTCAGGCAAATCAACGTTGTCCGGATGTTGTGCCCCCGTCTAATTCTTTTTCGTCCGGTCCAGCGGGAGCAGGCGGATGGGGATTGACAACTGGAATGAAACTTGAAATGAAAGAATGGTCCGGGGGGCCATCCAGAATTGGGCTACTTTTTGGCCCATTGAAAACTCTAGTTGGCCAATATCCCATGAGAAAAGGCCCAAATGACTTTTTTGTTGGTCAAGTGGATCTAGCTGTGTGGATCATTTCAGATGTTAATCTTTCATTCTTATAGTTTAAGCGCATGAGGAAATGGAATTCAACTTCTAAGGTTTATTTAAAAACATGTTAAATATTATGTTTGACAATGTATAAATTGAAATAGAATGATAATGATAAAAAATACGAAATGATAATTACTTAATTAATGTCCCTGCTTTTTTCAGGCCCAAAAAAAAATGTTACTATGTTTGATATGCAAAATGTTCTTTTTAGAAAATGAAAATGAATGAAAAGGGTGGAGCTAAATTTGTGGATTTGGTTCGGTAATGCTTCTAGCCATAAATCTATTTTGCGTTCGTAATATCAAAATTAAAAGAGGATTATTGCTTATCAGCCATTCAAATCAATCTAGATGATTAAAAGCGGAGGGATGTGCCCAAATCAATAAAGATATAGGGTTTAAGTCATCAAAAATATATTTTTACTATTTTAATTTTATATAAAATTTTAACTTAATCTTTTAATTTTATAAAATATCTTTTTAATCCCCTCATTCTAATATCATTAGCTTCAAATGATTATTTTTTGTGTCAACCATTGTTATTTAAAAAAATTAAACTAAATATATCAACTTTTAAAAATGTTTTGTTTTAAAATTTTAATGTAAATAGTACAAAAAAATATCTCTCTCAACCTAATAAATATTTTCT